GCAATTTGGTTCAAAGTGCACTCAATTTAATTCCATTAACCCTTCTTTACAGATATCCTTTTATCTTATAATTTTCAGTTATTTTTCCCTATATTCTCTGTCTGAATATGTTTTTCAGAAAGGAAAGTGAAACACTTTATATATACATATATATTGTCTATATATATATGAAAACACATGATGAAAAATGTCCAGTTTTTACAGATTTTAGTTTTAAGTGTATCTTTCCTGTGTATTGGCATCTTTTTACGGAGATACTGAGGTCAGTTATTGCGCCCCTACTGTCATACCAGTGGAGATCAGTAACTATAGTACAGGCCAGTAGCCAGTGGATATTCCAGATGAATCCAGAGAGGTCAGGTGAACTTCTATGGAATTTATTGACTCTGCCTATTGACTCTGTTTCACCTCAAATCATTCCTTCCAAAGTTTTCACAGGATCAGTCTGTCCATTTTCAACTAGACCAGTCACATACATCGCTACTTATTCACGATAACATCCAACTTTTACGGAGCAGGCTCGAAGGGCTGGACGGCCTACTCCTGCTCCTAGCTCTTATGTTCTTTTTGTTCAAAAGAATTATAAATTTTCAAACCACTTAATATCTGTTTCCATCCAAAGCCACTAATTGCCTGAAAACATGCTTCAAATTAACTCCAATCATCGAAGGTTTAGCCAAAGCAATCTTCTTGCAAGGTATCATGGACAATGGCCATTCTCTGACAGTTCATCCAAAATTCCTATTATTTATGAGTGAGTCTAAACAATGACTATTAACAGTAGACTTTAACTATGCAATATATTGCAGTAGACTTTAGTACTGTCCTCCCATGATTGTCCATGCACATCATCACCTCCAACTGAATTGCTGAACAATGTTCACAATCAGGCATCCTAACCAATTTTCCCATCCTAACCTAGAGATACTGAGGTCAGTTATTGCGCCCCTACTGTCATACCAGTGGAGATCAGTAACTACAGTACAGGCCAGTGGCCAGTGGATATTCCAGATGAATCCAGAGAGGTCAGGTGAACTTCTATGGAATTTATTGACTCTGCCTATTGGCTCTGTTTCACCTCAAATCATTCCTTCCAAAGTTTTCACAGGATCAGTCTGTCCATTTTCAACTGGACCAGTCACATACATCGCTACTTATTCACGATAACATCCTACTTCATATTAACAATACACTCCCTTGTCCAAGCACTGAAGCTGTGGAGCATGAGGAAAGAGACTTCACACTGAAAATTTTGCTAAAGCTAATTTCGAATTGCTTTCGATGGGAAGATAATCCATGTAGTCAGGCTGGCATTGATTAAACCCGACAGTGATGAGCTCAAAAGAGTAAACATTGTTTTGTTCAATTTTGATAAACCTGAAAAAAAATACTTTTAGCTGTTTTGCTTGTGAGAAATCAAAAAAACATAGCCTTCAGGAATTTTACATTGTACTTCGTCCAAGGGAATAACGGGAACAAATCTGCAAAATAACATGTTTAACTTTACATTAATGTAAAAAGGTGTCTTGCCAAATAATACCTCTTAGAATGCACTCTATGGCCAAACTAAAGGCAAAATTCAGATAACTGCAGCAGTGATGTTGTTAAAAATATCACTGTTGTGTTTCTGATGAATGATAACCTCCTATTGTTTAACCAACTAGAATGCAATGACACCCAAGATATTGTCAAAACTGTGTTTATTTAATTGTGGTTTGTCACTTCATCCAGACTAACAGAAGGATAAAAAAGTGAGGAACACAGTCACTCTTTCATGGACTCAAAAACAAATTGGAACTCTAGGATTATTATCAATGTCTAGGAAACACAATCTGGAATTCTGTCTGACTAATTTTGATTGAGAAAGTCTACTTCAATTTTATTTTACAAAGAGCTCCAGGATTTGATCGTGTTTTAATGATTATATATCCTGTGCCTTTCTCTATCTCCCTATGGAAACAAATTTAGCAATTAAATATGAACACCAACTTGATTAATACAAATAAGCAAGAAGATACAGAAATACCCAAAATCCTACTTCCAAAATGAAAGCCTACTTTCTATTGTCAGCATTTCAGGCTCCTCAGTGCCTGTTCCCAGCCAGCAGATCTGGGTTTGAATGTTTAACTTCCCCTGTATACATCAGTATATAGAACTTTGCTCAGGTGAACAGTTCTACCTTGGGGACACATTTGAAAGATCTTGTTCTCATATTTCTCTCCCAAAATCAGCTTCCTATCATGAAGTGCCATTAAAGGAATCACATAAATGCTTTTGGTCCCAATTGTTTCACCCTCTCAGCGAAGTGGGATTTGTGCTGCATTAGGGATCAATTAGAATAATATATGCAGGAAAAGGCAAGGAGAGTTTTCTTTTTCTAAAATATGTAGAACATAAACAGCAATCCCTCCTCCTCATCAAAGCACAGTACTAAAGATGCCTACAGGCAGATGTGTTGGCAGTTTTGCAACTCCATTTCTGTGATTTAAAAGTATTTTGTTAGTTTTATTAGTTAGCCTGGACTATTCCTTTGTTGAAAGCTGAACAGTTCCTGTTACAAATTGCAATTCACTTACTGAAAATACTACTATGAAGGATGATGAAGTAAATATGACATAAAATGCTTTAACTCAGACTTACATAATTAAATTTGTGTTAATAGGAAGAAAAGAGCAATAAACCAGCATATTATCCACTTCCTCATAAATGAATATCTGTCACTTTCGTTAAATTATAATTGTCAAACTCTCAGAGAACATTAACGTTAGCATTTGATGTGAAATTATGAAATGTAAACTTTTTAGGATATCAAATTACAGAGTTTTAAAGTAGTAGGGAAATTTGCATTCAATTTCCTGTTTCATTTTAATCTGGATTCGAGAAAATATGTTATAAATGCTAACAATCTTGATGCAGGTTATAATGAATGTAGATTTGGAGTAGGCAACTCTATTTTATTTGTAATGCCATGTGGAATAAATGTGAATTTATTGAAGTTATAGTGACTTATTAATTGCATTGTAGAAATGGTCTTCTGCTTTCTATTATCCTTCTGGAAATGGTTATACTTGGGTGTTGCATCTCAAAATAAAAACAGTCATTAATAATCTGTTACATATGAAGGAAAAAACGTGTGACTGGCACATTGTTCAACAGTAATTGACATAAATGTGGTCGTGCTCCATGCTTTTAAGTGAACATCATGTCTTGGATATTTTTGTCTACTTCCTCAGCTTCTTCTCTGAATTAATAATTGCACGACTTGCAAACGATGTTTTGCTTCTGTAACTCTGATACACTAATTTGGTGGTTTAGAACTTAAAGTGCACCTGTAAGAGAGACATGCTGTTGAAGCTCTTTGCCTCGTACTCACCAGGACAAATGCAAGAATGCCAAATTTCAAAGGGAGCAACAATGTATACTGCATGAGAAGCATGCAGTTTAAATTGTTGCTCCCTTTGAAATTTGGCATTCTTGCATCTATCCTGATGAGTGTGAGATGAAAGTTTTCAACAGCATATCTCTTTTATCAGAAATCATCAATTTAATTCAATTATATCCTTTATACTCGGAACAAATGACAGATTTTTTTTCTTAGGATAATTATCTTTAGTCCAAATTTTTGTCCAACTTCTAATTCCTTTGGATCACACACGAACTATAGTTCAGCCTAGATTCCTGACCTCCATCTAAATCACTACGAAACAACTACTGAGAGTCATATGGGTGAAAACAATCCCTATGATTTTCTTACCCATTCCCCATTCAATAGAGAATAATTTTGTTTTTGATTAATATCTCCCAAAGTGATACAGCTGAAATTGAAAACTCAGTGGAATGAAGAATAAATTCTCATCATGCTAATTCATACAAGTTAGATTTTGAGTACCTTTTAAACATGCAATTACGATAACATCCTGTGAAATCAAGGCATAATAATTGGGAAAGAAATTGCAGGGGGCAAATACCATTCATAAACTGAACATCATTAGCATGTCCATTTTACTGCTTTTCATATTCAGTTTATTATTTTAAAATATTGTGAAAAACTTGAATGAGAAGCTTCTTGTTTTGGCACTGTTCTTGTTTATTATCTAGTTTATTTTATTATATATATAATTATTATTTATCTTCCATTATCTAATAGTTTGACCTCTGTTTTCTTGTTCTGCAGGCTTCTGTTTCAGTTGTGGTCAGCTGGATAATATTTTCATTAACATCAGGTAGAACAATAGCAATATTTCTGTCTCCGCAGCAGTCTAGTGTATGGCTACAGCCAAGGTATTCGTAATTAATGGCAAGGTTAACAGTTGTACTTCCATCTCAACGAGATGCTTTGATGGTGGGTCAACTCAAGTCTAAATGCTAATAGAGTTAAAACTTGAGGCCAAATCATCTTGCTACAAACTAAAGTTGTCCACCGTCTATTTGAAATAACTACATAGTCCTTGCAAACAGTACCCTTTTAATTTAACACATTTTGGTAGGGCTTGATTTTCTTTTGGCTCACGATTTATCTTAAACAAACTACTGTCAATTAAAACTTGTATTGGATTTTGCATTACCTCGTGAATTTAGAAATACCTTGTAGGTATTTAAATCTGAGATTACATAGAATATTGGGATAGTACAAATCCAATTTGGGATGTAAAGGGTTAAGTACATTTTATCCAGGGTTAGACTAGATTATTTTTAAAGCAGTAACAAAAAAACATATGCAATGTGAACTTCTGTTAAAACCGTCCGTGTACAACACTTTTTTTCTTGTTCAAACATGCAAACAAAATAAGCCCGCCTCGTTAAATATTCTTAAATTGCTGGAGAGCAATAAATGCTCCTAAAGCAATGATGCTGTAACAGCTGCCAGTTTAACACAGCCTCTGCTTTCGAAGTGACCCCCGATTCCCATCGCGTAAGCTTATAATAATTGGATACTGCGATTGGACATGCACCTATATGGAATTCATTTCGTGCAAAGCCAGGGGACTAGAGAAACATACCTGAAACAATAATAACTTGAGGACGACAGTAAAAACACTTCTTCCTCCAGCAGCACTGAGCAACACAGATAAATCTGAAGCAAATGTTGAGAATAATGTACGCTAGTCTCTTTCCGCGTGTAACTGTCACTTTTGCTGATCCATCTTTGCGCTCCGGCCGAACTTCTGCTTTTCTCCCTGACTCTCCAAGGAGTGGATTTACCCCACCTCCTTCTCCTGACGTAAGGTGCAACATCTGGAGACTCAGCTTCTAACAGCTGGAGAGCGGCGACTAACCCGCGCCCTCTGTAGGGTAGGGGCTAATATTTCAGCACATTTACTGAAATAGGACATTGTAAGAATTCTGAATGCATTTATCCCCAGCAGAGAGTATGAGTAAAGATAAGGTGAGAGAAATACGAGGTTAATTGTACTCCATTGACCAAAAAAGAAATTTGGAGCGTGGATCAAAATAATTATCTACCTCAGGTTTGTCTCTAGCTTAGCTCAGCCATTCAGTGCGGTGCTAGTATACCTGCCTCTGGGTTAGAATAATATGGGTTCACGTCCCACCCATCTTGGATAGGTAATATGTCTGCAACAGGCTGATTTTAATTTTAAAAAATCTTGTTCATCCATGTAGCTTTTGACTGTTGGCCACTTCTTGTTTGACGTACTTTATATTTTCCTTTGAATCTCTCACCATGCCTCCCACATCTTTCATCATTATACTTGTGTCTCGTTGTCACCAATGCTTTCACATCGATTGTTTCTGTAACAATTCCTCCCCTTTCCTTGGAGGGATGTGATAGCAAGATGGCCTAACTGATGACAGCACTGAGGGAATGTTAAAAGTATGCTCCCTACTCCCCACAACAAGTCTGCCTCTTTCTTTACCCTTCTAAACTGATCTTTATCCTCCTCACTTGCAAGAGTACCTCTGTCCTTACTCTTTCAGAGGGTCTCGCACCACTTTCATCCCTACAGTACCTACTTCTCAGTCCTTACCTCTCACCCGGGTTTCCCTCCATCTTAATTTCTCCATCTCCTTCATGGACTCTCATTTACAACAGAATTTCAGTAAAATATTAAGGTAATTTGTGTGTCCCTCTTCTTGTGATTGTTTCTACTCTCTTACTTTGTTCATCTTCTTTTTCTGATTTTGCTGTTTGTCTTCCTTTTTTTCACTGCCTGATTGAAATGATGAGGATCTGGTACATGAGTGGCGAAAAAATGTAAGCAAAACACCGCAGGAGTCATGTTGATTCAACCTTTACTATCCAGCTGCAGCATTTATTAACTTATCCGCATAGATATGGACAAGTCATAAAATAGCTTCTTTCTCACTTGCATTCCAATGGAAGGCCCTCATCAGCTGTGTCTCTGTTCACAGAACACTTGCCTCTATATCACAGGTTCGAGGTTCACGTCCCACTCCAGGGCAGACAAAAATAAGGCTGACAGTCCTGTACAGCACTGGGTACAATGCACGGTAGGAGATGCTATCTTTAAGGTTTTATACAACATAAATCACTCTTGCAAAGAGTTAGTGTGTCACAACAGGCTAAATGATCTCCCCCTGTGCTGTAATAATTCTATGATTCTTAGAGGTTCGTTGTTTTCTGCAGAATTCTCAGCCTCTGACCTGGTATTGTACTTTAGTTAATGGAAGGGAATTCAAAGTTGGTAATGTCTTCAATTGTGAAGAGAAGGTAGTTACATTCTGTCTTATTAAAGATTGCCTGGCACTTGTATGGTATAAATGTTACTTGTCATTTATCATCCAAGTCTCAATGGTCTTCAGGTCTTATTGCATGTGGACTTGGTTTGCTTCAGTGTCATGAATGTGTATTCTAAACAAAGTGCAATCATAGGCAAACATCCCCAATTCTGACTTTAAGGTGGAGGGAAGGTTGTCAACAATGTAATTAAAGACAGCTGCCTGCAGGAGGTTACCTTGAACAGTTCCTGCAGTGATGTCCCTTGGACCATAGTTGTTTGGAGTACTAGGTATGACTTCAACCAGATATCCATGGATTTCAATTTTACTGAAACACCATAATGCCATACTTAATCCATGCTGCCCTGTTATTAAGAAAAATCATTCTCCTCTCCCCACTTAAATTCAGCTCTTTTGCCATGTTTGGACTAAGGCTGTAATGAGTGTCAGGAGCTGAGTGGCCCTAGCAGAATCCAGACTGAACCCTGGCATCACGTTATTGCTTTATAAGTCCTGCTTGGCAGCAACACTGATGACCTTTTCCATCACTTTGTTGATGACCGAGAATACACTGACAAGGTTGTAATTGGCTGGATTTTTAGAATTTTATAATTTTACAGTACAGAAGAAGGCCATTTGGCTCATTGTGATTGTACTGACTCCCGAAAGAGCTACCCAGCTAGTCTCATTCTCTAGGCTACCTCCGTAGCCCTCTAAATTCATCACTTTCAATCCTGTTCTCTTTTGAAACCTTCTAAGGAATCCATTTCCACCACTCTCCCAGGCAGCACATTCCAAATCTGAACAACTCTCTGAGTAAAAGAATTTTCTCTTCATCTCATTCCTCACTCCTTTGCTGACAGACTTGAAATTGTGACCCGTAGTTACTGACATACCAACTGGTAGAATGAAAAATCCTTCTTTACCCTGTCAAAATTGTTCATAATTTTGATTACCTAAATAAGGGTCACCTCTTAATTTTCTCTGCTCCAAGGAGAATAAGCCCAATTTCATACAATTCTTACAGTGTGGAAGTAGGCCATTCAGCCCATCAAATCCACATCGACCCTCTGAAGAATCTCTCACCCAAACCCATTCCCCTAATCCTGCATTTCACATGGCTAATCCACCCAACCTGCACATATTTGGACTGTGTGAGGAAACCAGTGTACCTGGAGGAAACATACACAGACATGAGAACATGCAAACTCCACACAGACAATCTCACAAGGGTGGAATCAAACCCAGGTCACTGGCACTGTGAGACAGCTGTGCCAACCACTGAGCCACTGTGCCACCCCAATTGCTCTAATCCTTCTTTTTATTTAAAATCTCTCACTCCTGGTATCATTCCAGTTAATCTCCTTTGCACTCTCTCCAAAGCTTTAACATCTTTCCTTAAATAAGGTGCCCAGAACTGAACACAATACTCCAAATATGGCCTGATCAATGTTTTGTAGAGGTTTGGCATCAATTTCTTGCATTTATATTCGATGCCTCTATTTATAAAAGCAAGGATCCTATAAGCCTTCTTAACAACTGTTTTAACTTGCCTTGCCACCTTCAGAGAACCATGCACTTGAAGCCTGAGGTTCCTCTGCTCCTGTACTCATAGGAAATCTGGAAGGATATATACTTGGCACTTTTAGTTCCAGATGGATACAAATGACTTAACCTTTCTTTTGCCCTGATATGTTCGGCTATCTATGGGGATATCTGTGGACCCTCATCCTTCTGTTAGTTCTTTAATTGTCCACTACAATTCAAGACTCAATGTGGCAGGCCTGCAAAGTTTTGATCTGATCCACTGATTTTGACATTACTTAGCCCTGTTTACTGCATGCTGCTTCAGATACAGGTTTTCCTGTATTGTAACTTCACAACTTCACATGTTCTGCGGAAGGGTCACCGGACCCGAAACGTTAACTCTGTTTTTTGATTCACAGATGCTGCCAGACCTGCTGAGCTTCTCCAGCAACTTTGTTTTTGTTCCCGATTTACAGCATCCACAGTACTTTCGGTTTTTATTCACATTTTCAGGTATGCCTGATGCTGCTTTTTTGGCACGCTTTCCTGCATATCTCATCAGACCCATGTCAATTCCTTAACTTGATATTAATGGTAGACTGAGGCAGGGCTATGAGGTTATAGATGGTGGTTGAATACAATTCTGCTGCTAGTAATGATCTACAGCACTTCATAGGTGCTCAGTTTTGAGTATGTAATGCACAAATGCTTCAGAAAAGTATACCTTTTGCTGTGCAACATTTTCACCATTTTCCTTTCAGTAAGGAAAAGTAAGTTGCTTATATGTTACAATGATGAGGTTTATAAGATTATTATGTTTTGGGATTGTAGCTTTAAACTCTGGGTAACTTAAGGGGCCCATGACCCGTTTTGCAGAATGGCTGTTGGTACATCTGGCAGGTTTGATTGTTAGAAACCAATGAAAGACATTGATTGTTTTACTAAGAACGATGTGTTAAGTACTTGCCCTTGAACATAGTTGCAGTGGCCTTTAAGATGGGTAGACTCTGAGTTTCCAAGGAAGATTATGAAAATATGAGATTCTAAGATGAAGAAGAGTTATGTTCATGGATAGCAAATTAGAATTTCTACTTGAATGCCAAGTGTCTCATATTGCCATGAAGAAAATGCAGAGGAAGTCATTTTTGAGATCAGGTTACAGGCTTCCCTATAAATCCACAAATAGCTCAGAAAGTAGTTCTATGTGGTCAGCAGAAAGACAAGGCTGTTTAGTTTTTCAAGATCACATAGTTGGATACAAGGAGGGAAACTTTCCAGATTCAGTCACACCTACAACCATCTAAGCATTCCAGGAGATACACTCTGGCAAGGCTGAGGGAAATCAAATCTCAGGACAGACTTTATTACTGCTGGTGAATTTAAGGAACTTTGAAAGTGCCTGGAGGTGGTCACTTAAGGTTGCTACTCAGTGAAATAGGGATACAAATATCCTTTGAAAACTGGGAATAACTGTGGACTGTTTGCTATAAAAATTGCAATCCCACAGGGAATGTGATAGGTGATAGATGCAAATGGGGAATATTACTGTATGGATCTAAAGTATAAATTGACTAGAAAATGAAATGCTGTTTCATCAATGAGTTTTAATCATTTGTTACAGTAAAAGTTTTAAATTTGTGAAATTTTAAGTTTCTTTCAGTTAGTAAATAGAAATTCAAATTTCTTCTTAAAAGTTATCAGTCTATAATAACACTGGGACAAGGAACTCTCACCATGTGGAATCTATATTCTTATATAATATATAACCAAAGTTTTGCATTGAGATTATATCGAGCCAAACATCTAGCCAACTGTCCAAATTATTGGATCTTATCCTGGATTCCGGTGCCTTCATTGTACAAAAGAGCACAGTGTTTACTTGAAAGAAAGACAGACTAGCAGGGCCTGGAGAAAAATTATGGATCAAGACTTTCTTGTA